GGTCACCGTGAACGGAGCGCCCAGGACGACGCAGGGGAGCGCACTGCCCGGAAGACTCGCATTCCTGAGCCCTGGCGCCATCCAGCGCGCTTCCTGTGCCTCACTCAGCTCCGGGACTGCGGACCCACCCGGGCCACCTGCCCCGGTGAGGAGCTGGACAGCAGGCAGCTAGTGACACCGGGACAACGCCGGGCGTGGAGAGGAGGTCGTGAAAACCTGGCCACGGGGTCAGGAAAGCCCGGGGTTTTTGTTTTTTTGTTTTTTAAAATTGAGACCGTGTCTCCCTAAATTGCTAACTTGCCCAGGCTGGGCTCAGACGTGTGATCCTCCTGCCTCAGCCTCCCTGGGTTCTCGGATTATAGGTGTGCACCACCATGCCCAGCTAGGGCTGACGACTGAGCTGTCCAAGGGTAGGAGAGGCCCTTGGGCACTGGGAGCCGAGAAATCCAGCGTGGGGACTCACCAGAGGTGAGAAATGGGCTGAGGTGGCCACTGCTCGTCTTATCTTCGTCACCCAGGAAGACAGAATTACTATTTTCCTCACTTTTTTGTTTTTTTCTGAGACGGGACCTTGAACTCATGGAGACCCTCTTGCCTCAGCCTTCCGAATGCTGGGATCACAGGCGTGCGCCACCACCCCAGGCCAGATGTTTTCAAAGAACCTGGTCAACCTGGCGTCTAAACCCCACCCCCACTGGACGAACGCAGGGCTCCCAGGAGAAGGGCGACCCCAGGGGTGGGCAGGGGCAGGGCGAGCCGGCAGAGGCCAGAGTTGGGACGTGCTGGATCCGCGGGCACGTCAGGCGCCCCACTAGCCAAGGAGGGGACCGTGTGCGCCCCAAAGTAACCGCTAAAAATCCGTAAAACAGGACACCTCAGGGCGGTGGGGAGGAGGAGTCGGCGAGGAGAGGGGCGCGGCAGAGGCCAGGCCCTGGGTGACTAGAGGTGGGGTCCCGGGGCCTTTCGGGGGGACGCCTGGAGCTGTGGGGTGCAGGGAAGCTAATGGCAGAGAGATGAGGGCGGCTGGGAGGATGGCGAGAGCCGCGGGGGCCTGGGGAGCCCGGGAGGACCCCGGAGAAACGAAGAGTGTGGGATGGAGAGCCCGGGACTGTCACGGAGGGAGGGGGACGCGAGTTCTGGGGCGCGGGCTCCGGGACACTCACCGGGCTGGGGTCCCGTCCGAGGGCCTTGCGGTTGTGCTC